CCCCCCCCCCCCCCCCCCTCCCCCCCCTCCTGGCCCCCCGCCTTTGTCTTCTGGGGGCATGGCTGGGGCACCAGCTCCACTTCCGCCTCCAGATTCCTCAGCCTCCAAGCCAAAATCTTCCTTGCCGCCTGTTAGCGATGCTAGAAGTGACTTGCTGTCCGCTATCCGTCAAGGTAAGTCCCAGCTGTGATTTTTACATATCTCCTCTCCCTTAAGCCTGGCAGGCTTAGTGAGGTCTCATCCCGCTGCTGTTGGCCTACTGCTTGTAATATGCCCTGTGGGTGACCTGAACCGGAAAGAATCTCAGCTCCCCGCTTCACCCCCAGCAGGATGCCCCTGTAGTTTTTAACTTTGCATGTTGCCCCACAAGACTCTCTGCAGTTTCCAAGCTGCAGTCAAACTGCCGTTAGCTCGGCCACATGAAGTGCCTGGGGTGAGAGGGGAAAGCCAGCTCCTCTGGCTTCCTCCAGTTGCCCTTTCTCCAACCCTGTCCAGGCCGGTCTGTGGTTTGACCTCTGTGCCCCTTCTGCGCAGCTGCGGTGGCAGGCTGTGATCCAGGCATTGAGCACGGCCTGCCCAGGGTTATTTAGAGGACAGCACTGCAGCAACACTGGAGATCCCAGGAAATCTCAAGCCTGCCTTCTTCCCCTTGCCAGGCTTCCAGCTCCGCAAGGTGGAGGAGCAGCGGGAACAGGAGAAGCGGGACGTGGGAGGCAATGACGTAGCAACGATCCTCTCTCGCCGCATCGCCGTGGAGTACAGCGACTCTGAGGATGATTCTTCGGAATTTGATGAGGACGACTGGTCTGATTAACCACGGTTCTGCTCCCCACGCGCCTCCTAGCTGGGCCGACCCCTTTCTTAAAGAGCCACGTACTTCCTAGGTTGCCAAAACCTTTTAGTTTTACCTGTCTCCTCCAGTAACCGAAGATGCACCAAGGGGTGTCAACAAGCCACCGTTGGCCGTGGCACGACTTGCGCTTGCCTTTCCAAAAGGTCAGCTCTGAGAGACAGAGGGCTGCAGTGTTGTTTTCCAGCAGGAGGTGGAATGGTGCTTGCTTGTTAAAAGAAACTCAAACCCCCATGTTGGCAATGCCACAGCACAAAGCTGGGTTAAAGATCCTACGGGTGGATCTTTTTTATGACCAGTGACCTTTTTTACAGCCAAAGGGCTCTTCAGAAGAAGGGCATTTTCAGCCAGTTTTCTAATTGCAGCAGCGTGTAGGATATAGTAGACGTAACTGTCCCTTCCTCTCCAGTTCATATGGAACTACTGCTAGGAAATGGGCTTAAAATGTCTCTTCTAGGCTGCACCCCATTATTACATAGCCCTTTGAACAGTCCATTATTTTGACGATAGAAGCACCATTTCCCCAGCATTCCAGAACTAAAAAGATCTCTCGAGTTGTAGGGTTGCGGGATGCACCACGTGGAAGCCAGCGGGTTCGGGCTTCTTTAAAAGTTGCCTCTACCCCCTCAGTAGCTTGGTCTGTGCCTCCGCAACTAATGAAGGAGGCTGGGCTAAGGGACAGCCTTCGCCAACGGCCAGCTACCCTGCCTGCCCACCCTGGTGCGCTGTGGGAACTGAGCAGTGACAGCTAGCGCTTGCGAGGTTCTACCCAATCTGTTGTGCTTGGAAGGTTTTCATTGGCTACTTAGTGAGCTCTGCAGTGCATCTAGAGCAGGAGATGTAATGCGTGGTGGTGGGTGAAGAGAGGCGCTCTCAGCGCCGGATCTGCTCCAGGCCCATTTGGCGTTCTGTGTGTCTACAGTTAATTTACCAGTCAGGGCAAGGAGGTGAGGCATTAGTGTCTCATTTGGCCTATTCAAGCAGCACTGTGTTCAGCTTTTCAGTGAGGACGATGGTGCACTTTATGCAGGGAATTGAACAGCAGACAATGCCAGTATTTAGCCTGTTCTCCTGTCTCCTATCCCGGTGGAGAGGGTTACATGTTGCAGAATCTCTCAGATCTGAGTCTGCCATCGGTAGCATTACATCTAGCCCATATTAGTGGTTTTCCATTACTGCACATCCCAGTTATTTCCCAGAAAATGCTGTCATATCTCTTTTACCAAATAAACTTACAAATTCCTAATCTTTTCCCTGGAGGTGCATTACAGGTGAGGGGTGGAAATGGGGATTTTAGATTAGCTGACTTAGGTTTTATTAGTTTTATTACCTTTTAAGTTGAATGCAAGCATCTCCAACAGGATGGATACAAAAAACTCTGTGTAGCAGATGCTTATTTAATATCTGATCTGGGTTTGACTATCCAAGTCTTAGTGTGACATAAAAGAGCAGTTTTTTCCTGTTAAGCAATTCCAGCCCATGTGATTCATGGATCCAACTAAGGGAGGAGGGACAATGCAAGAGGGAGTCTTCTGACAAGATGGCCAACTCTCCATTCTCTGTTCTGCCTTTACTTTTTTGAAAGTATTTTGCCAACACGTGCCTCTCCTTCCCTTCCCTCACTGACTTGCCTTATCACTGTTTTTCTATATCAAAACAAAGATGTTACCAGATACAGCCGGAGGTTGTCATGTTGCCAGAAAAACCCTCTTGGGTTTGTTTTAGTGTTTAAATTCTCACTTTTCTGGATTCTTCCTATCTTCTTTAATACCTTTTCCTTTTTTAACCCTTGACATAGTGAATAAATGAAGTGGCATAAAGGCTAGGGGACCGCACTTTTGGGTGCAGGTGTTGTCATGTTCTAGTTTGGCCATAAAGCATCGATGAGATTGTTTTATTACACCTCTGCACTGCTATATTGAGACAGCAATCCAAGTGGGTAAGGTAGTATCCTAGGAAGGTATAGGCAGTGAAACTTACACTACTTTCTGATGCGACAAGAATACAGGAGTCAAGTTAGTTCCAATCCTCCAGTGCCAATAAGCCATAATGCATTCCAGGGCACTGGAAGTTAGGAATATACAAATGCCATTTTTGTCGGGGGGGGGGTTAATTGTTTTGCCCCCACTTGACCCCATTTCCTAAAGGGGAAGCTAATATACCTTTCACTCGTTTTTTTCAAGATGTGATATCCCTTGGGACCTTACATGGACAGTCCATTTGTGTGCAAATCACTAGTTGGATTGTGGAGAAGTAGCAATGGTGCCTGACAGTTCTGTGACCAATGTCCCGGTTCTGTCCTGTTTTCTTCCAAATCGTTATGCAATAAAGCCTGCCCCTTTGTACTAGGTGGCCATAAAGGTGCATGCCCACTTACACAGATCAGAGATCTCATCAATGAGAGGAACACTGTTTTCTTCAAGTCTAGTTTAAAAACAGTTGTGCTTTTAAAGACGTTGAAGTGCTTAGAAGTGGTTCTAAAACATGAGTCCTCAACCGGGGGGGAATAGTGGGAGGGGAAGAAAATAGGTGCCAAGAACAACCTGTCTGCAAGATGGTTGTGTGCAGATGGCTCTTTCCTACAGCCCATGGGGACATGTTTGGCTGAATGGCCTTCTGGCCACTTTGTTGGGTTAGCGGGTTCTTAACTTATTTGGTGTGACCAGAGGTACAGTCCCAAGAACATAATGTGGGGAGCTGTCAGTGTTTAACCTGGAGGTGTGCGTTTGGACAGGTCAGGGGGCCTTTCCTCCGATCCTGGTTAAGTATTCTCTCTCTCGTTTTCAGCTGTAGTGCCTGGCTGCATCTCATAGCATTCTCCTCCTCCCCCCTCGCACTTGCACGTAGGTTATGCCTCTTACAGGTTTACAGGACCCAGCCTGGAGGCTCATCTGCAGTCAGTGACCTTCATTGGTTCTCATCTCCTTATCAGTCACAGTGCACCAGACCAGAACCAAAGAAGGGCTCTTGTAAGTCCCGGATGGCCAAGAAACTGTGTGAAGTATAACTTCATGAGAGAGAGAATTACAGCCCAGAGACTTCTTCAATATACCTGCTTTAAAAATACCTGCCCTGGATTGGCCAAGCCTGCCTCTTCGCTGGCTTGGTCAGGTTTTCTGTGTCTCGTTCTTTTACAAAGCCTTGAAGTGGGATGTGGATCAGGTTGTATTACTGTGTTAACTTTATTCCTTTTGATTCATTTTAGAAACTAACCAATTTTTTTCCTGTCTAGACTGATATAGAACTTAGAAGAGCCATAATGCTCCTGAAGTGCCTTATTTCCTATACAATATAAATATATTTATAAGAGTAATTATTCCATTTGTTCTGGGGGGGGCCTACTCTGGGCAAAAGTGTTGGTGGGGAAGAGACAAAAGTCAAATGAGTCTTACAGTGTCAAAGGAAAAAGGGCGTGGGAAAGGATTCTCTGGGTTGTGAACAGTGGGGGTTACTCCCTCACCAACCAAAGGAACGCAGAGAAATAGCAAAACTAAACCCTGTTAAAGTCTCACCAGCAAAACACGCTAGATCCTTGGCATGGAGGTCAACTATTTGTTTTACCCCACAGAATGAACAGTGACAGATTCTGGATTGTGCTGCCAGTGCAAACCAGGAGTAACACCACTGGCTTCAGTGGAGTAGCTGTGCCTTTACACCTGCTAATCTGAATTCAGAATCTGGCCTTCTCCTGTTTTCTGTTTTCCTCTGTCAGGTGCTATTTAGCCAAGCTTTCATACTGCTTTTTTATAGTCTGCTTGGTCTCCCCCCATCACCAGAAGAAGATCCCAGTTTGCAATGTTTGTAATGTATGTGTACAAATCTTCCTTTTTTAAAAATGTAAACTTAAAAAAAAATCTTGATAAAACCTTTCTATCCAATCAACATCTGTGTTCATGTCACTTTGGAGAATGGGGCTAGCAGGTTGGGAATGATGCCTCTGGGTGATAGAGGGCAAAGATTCAGCCCGTCCACTATGGCCTTGGCAATGATGGTCCCGTAAGAATGGTTTTGAGAAGCTCTTATTGTGACAGCTTGAGAGGGCTTGGGAGTTACCAACATATTGGCCAAAGGAAACTGTGCCACCAGTATCCCACAGCCATGACTCGTTTATCTTTACTGAGCAGTTGGCCAGCCCACGCCTAGAGCGGGAGTATCAGAATGGGATTATGGGCGATGCTGTGTTAACAGCTCATGTCTGTATAGCCAAAGTGCCCTGTGATATGTCCCTTTAAGGCCATTGTGTTGTAGCCCAGGAGCTCAGCAGTGCTGGAGCTCTGAGTCTGGAGCCAAATGCATGAGCTGTGTTAACAAGAGCATTAAACCTCTCTCTAGATTTACCCTCACAAGATTTACCCCAGAGCCCTTGTGCAGAAATCTCTCCTTCTACCACTGACGTGCAGCCACCTCTGGAAATGTGCCATCTCTGCAGCCAGCTAGTGCCTGCCATGCTGCGTAACTGCCAGGAAAGGAAACGGCGTCTAGGGAGTCAGACAAACCTCTGTGTGGATGTAGCACCTCTGGCTGTTCTTACAAGAGCAGAGGAGCCAGGCTTTGCTTTATTTTAAAAGCTGCTGAATGGCCTATGTAAAATAAACTGCGTGAGGCATGATTCAGCAGCCCTGGCTGGAGGACTTGCAGCCTACCCCAGCCATGCTCTCTCATGGGCTGTCTTGCGAATGACTTTGAGTAAGCCTCCTGTATGAATGTTTACTGCCGATTGCGTGGATGCACAGAAAGCCTTGTCTCAAACTCTGTCCCTCTCTTACCGCAGACTCCAGGCCAGGATTGCTAGGATGTAGATGCCCATTGATTTCTGTGTTCACATGTTGCAGCATTTTGCCTTTTCGCCATTTGCAGCTGATACAGTCCCTGCTGCAAACCCTCGTTAGACTAATTTGTGAGTTCTTCCTGCCAGCTGGAGAACGAGCATCCAGAACAGCTACTGCAAAGCTACTTTGTGAGCTACTGGAAAGGCTGGGAGAGAGAAGGAAGGGTTGTTTATGGCTGGCTCTTACAGCCCAAGCCTGCTACGCCTCTTAGAAATTCACTGAGTCTCGGGAAAGCCCATTTGAAACATAAAAGGGCAGTCAGAGCTGCTTGCTTGTCTCAGAACTGGAATCGCAGTGTGCCTCTGGTATGTCATTAGCAGCCAAGGCCAGAGTTAGTGTGTTGCTCCTGTTTTCAAGGGAAGAGAGGGACATATAAAAATGTCACCATCTCGCAGCTACTAATCCCTTCCAAGTGAGCTTTTCATTTTCTAAAGGCTGCTAGCCTGCAAAGCCACTGATAGCAACCGTCTCCCCCATTGGTACCAAAACACGTGCATAACCCTGATCAGTGGAAAGCTCTTAATACCAGCTTCTCTTCTCGGTGCATCCCTTCATCTGTATTGCAGTTGCTGTGCTTGTTACCTGGAAGGCTGCGTCCTTCCTGCCCTAGTACAGCCTGGCTGCAAGGACAGGAGTCTTGAAATCTAAATTAGACCCTAAGCAGATGGGAAGATGTATCCTGTGCCGTGGGATGGCCAGTTCCTACCAATACACAGCTGCCTAGGGCACCAAATTGCTCCACATGTTGCGGTGCTCCAGGTAGCTGTGTGTGCAGCAGTGCTAGCTCCATCCCCGGACTAGTCCTCCCGTGGTTTGTGCCCAGCAGGGCTGTTCCTAGAGGAGGTGCAGAGCCCAGGATAACCCCCCCCCCAGCCTCTTCCCTGCCCCCACTTTGCCTCCTCCTCACCCCCATCCCACCCCTTCTCCCAAGCCCCTGCCCCGAGCAATGTGGCCCAGGGGACTAGTGGAGGGGCTGGTGCCAGCAGCAAAAATCAGATCCCGCCCCACCCTGCTCCACTTCCCCCCTCCCCCCACGGCAGCGTTCTGGGGCAGTCCCACTCCTTCTCCCCTGCCCTAAGCGATGCTGCTGGGGGAGTAGATGGGTTGGGTCTAGTTATTTCTGCTTCCCTCTGCTACTGGGGTGGAGGGGAGCAATCCCTGCTGCCTCCCTACCCTACAGCTGTCCCCACAGCTCTTGCTCCTGCAGCCTTGTGCAAAGTCCCCTCCCTCCCCACAGAAGGGGGCTGCCCCACTTCACAGGGGAGGTGCAAGTGCGCGGGCTGCGTAAGGCACCAAAGCGGCTTGGGATGGCCCTGGCTGGCTTGTCTTCCTTGCGCCATGCAGCGCTGCAGTGGGGCCTGAACCGACGTGATTGAGGTCAGAAGGAAGTGCACCTGCCTGGCAGGAAAGCTGCCACCGTTTCCTTATTTCTGCCAAGCAGTGCGATCCAAACAATCTCCCTTCCCCCCAGGACCGGAGCGGGACGGGACAGCGAGGGGGTTCATTGTGCACTGGGCCTCTGCATGCC